ATTTAAAACAAAACATAATAAAGAAAGTAACAATTCTGCTTCTAAACATTGGTTTAATAATAAATGTAAAACTACCAGACGTGATTTTCACAGAGCTAAATATTTGTATAAACTGAGAAAAACAAATGAAAACAAAACAAATTTGAAATTGATTTAAAAGTCATGAGTACAAAAATGCATTACACCAAAGTTATAAAGAATATAAAATACATAACATTGAAAAAATAAGGAAATTGGGTAAATCTAATCCCAAAGAATACTTGAAAATATTGTATGGTAAGAAAGTTTCCAACTGTAGCGCGGACCTTAACGAAGTATACGAATATTTTAAAGATATAAATTTTGATAGTAATGTATATGAAAATGAAAATCCAAATGATATTTATCCGAATGACATATGTGAAGAACTGAATACGGATTTTACTATAGATGAAATAGAAAACGCTATTAAATCACTTAAGAACAATAAAGCTTGCGATGTTGATCGTATAGTAAACGAACATATAAAAGAGTCATTCCATATCTTCAAGACCATATAATTATGTTAAACTTCTTAATATTATTTTTAGCAAAAGTTGTATTCCAAAATGTTGGACAATTGGTGTTATAAATCCTATTTACAAAAATAAAGGGGATGCGACTGATCCATCGAATTATAGACCAATTACACTGCTTAGCTGCTTAGGGAAATTGTATACTGCTGTTTTAAATATCCGACTGCAAAAATTTACATCTAATCATGATATTATAAATGAATATCAGGCTGGTTTTAGAAAAGGTTATTCAACTATTGATAACATGTTTGTATTAAATACTCTTGTCGATTTGCTCAGAAATAGTAAAAAGAAATTGTTTTGTGCTTTCATCGATTTAAAATGTGCCTTCTACAAAGTTTGGAGACCAGGTTTAAGGTCAAAATTATTGTCATATAATATCAATGGAAAATTTATAAACACAATTAAAAACATATATGAAAATGCAAAGTCATGTGTACGTGTTAATGGTAATATGTCTGATTATTTCATATGTAATATTGGAGTACGTCAAGGTGAAAATCTTTCACCGATTATGTTTTCATTGTATTTAAATGATTTATATGAATATTTTAGTAACAATAATGTTTCCGGTGTAACATGTAACAGTCACGATTAAGAGGATAGTGCTTTTAACTATGTAAAACTGTTCTTTTTGTTGTACGCAGATGACACTGTAATTATTGCTGAAACAAAAGATGACTTACAACATGGTTTAAATATTTATAAAAAGTATTGTGATACCTGGAAACTTACGCTCAATACAACAAAAACTAAAATTTTGGTTTTTAAAAGTGGACGACGCATGTCATATAATTTTACTTACGGAAATGAACTTTTAGAAGTTGTAGACGAGTATAAGTATCTTGGTATTCTTTCAGTAGAAGTGGTTCCTTTTTCAAAGCCTAATTATCTATGAAACAGGGGCCCAAAGCTATGTATAGTCTTATAAAAAAATGTAAAATGTTAGAATTGCCAATTGACATGCAAATAGATTTATTTAACAAAATTGTAAAACCTGTCCTACTGTACGGCTGTGAGATATGGGGTTTTCGTAATATTGATTGTATTGAAAGAGTACAGCTTAAATTTTTAAAATATATTCTAGGTTTAAAGCCAAGTACACCAAATTGTATGGTTTACGGTGAAACTGGTGTTAAACCACTATCTATTGAAATTAAATGTAGAATTATATCCTATTGGTCTGACTTAGTCATACCACAACAGAACAAGTTACCGTGTTTGATATATCGTATTTTGTTAAATAATTTTAATAACTCCCAGACTGTATCTAGATTAAGATTTCAGTGGATAAAATTTGTTCAGAATGTTTTGTATGAATGTGGTCTGTATAACATTTGTCATAACCATGAATTTCATAACCATAAATGGTTAACGATGTCAGTCAAACAAAAATTTTCAGACTTATTTTTAAATGAGTGGTATTCTGATATTGAGAATTCTAGTAAATGTATAAATTATAGATTATTCAAACATAATTTTTGTTTTGAAACATATCTTGTAAAAACTCCATCAACATTTTTACAATACATGATAAAATTTAGAACAAGAAATAACAAATTGCCAGTAGAAACCGGAAGTTGGAACAACATCGAACTTAACAGGCGTGTCTGTACACTGTGTGTAAAAATCAATTGGTGATGAATTTCATTATATTTTTGAGTGTTCTTGTTTTGATAACAGCAGGAAACGTTTTTTGAAACATAACTATTTACAGAAACATAATATACATTCTATTGATCTTCTTATGAACACAGATGTTAACATTCAGGATTACAAAAAACTTTGTTTATTTATTAAAGAAATTATATTAAGATTCAAATGAGCCAAAAATTGTTTAAATTTAATGCTGTGGAGAACCCTATTGAAGTATATGTTTTAATACTGACTCTCCCGCGATATTTATGTTAACAATTTATATATCATGTTATTTTGATACTGTCTGATTCTGAAGCCTCATTTATTATGTAATTGTATTATTATCTCATGTTGTCATGTTTGTATGATCTGAGTGAATAAATAAAAAAAAATGAAAAATTAAGATATAAGTATAATATTTTTGTTTTAGAGCAAAATGGCTCCCATGCCACTTTCATATGCTTTAAGTAACAGTACTGTCTGACTCAGTCAAATTGTCTCTCAACAGTTTAGATTTTTTTAGGGATTCTCTATTTGATTATTTTCATAATGTTTAAAATGTTAATTGTTTTACCAAATAAGTTTTTTATTTAAAAAATAAAATTTCTTCCAGTGCTGCCCGTTTCATTTTTCATAATATGCATGCTATGTGATGAAGAAAATCCGGGATTTATTTTCTTTCTATTGATTAAACAATTTACAACTTTTTTTCTATATTAAAATATACAATATGCATGGTACAATATCAAAATTATGGTTGGTTAAAGGTCAAGAAGGACACATTCATGTCCGATGTGGTATTTAGCTGTCCTTCAGACTGCCTTGTTTCAATTTAATATTCTGAATCCATTTAGAAATGTGTCACATAACGTTGATTATGGTTGACTAAGGCACTGACTGATGGCTGAGCAAAGGGTCTCGCGGACTTGTATCGACGACCACAAAAAGTAATATATTGTGTGAAAAGGAATAAATCCCATGGGTTAGATCTGGAGAGTACGATGGGTGTACCAATATAGTAAACTTCTCCGATTTCAAAACTTGTTTCACAAACTGATATGCATGTAATGGGGCAATATAACAAAAACGACGAGCAGCCGGTGTTTTCGTTATTGTTACTTAAGCTTTTTAGTACAACATTTCGATGATACTGACCTGTAACACTGTTGATCTCTGGTACTGGAATTTGTATGGTTATACCATCGTAGGAGAAAATATTTTTCTGCTCATGGTAGTTTCAGTAACTATAGACCCTCTACTAATTTTGTTTTGGCTGGTTCGGAGTAGTGAACTCATGTTTAGTCATCAATAAAAATGTTTGCAAAATTTCTTTGATTGAAATTTGGAAACATTTTAGCATTTGGTAAGCGGATTGTACCATTTTTTAATAATCTCTGAATATATGGAATATGCATCTGGCAGGAATTTTTCTTTCTTTCTTGTTCTTTCAAAATATCGCTACGACAAAGTGATTTGACAACAGCTTAAACAGTACCAAGAATCTTGTACCTGCCATCACATTTAATTATTTCTCTGACTTCTAAGACATTTGTTTTGACTGTACAGATACCTTATCAGACCCATAAATTATTCACAAATCAGTTAAAAAAAATCTGGAAACAAGGCAATCCCTCAGAACATCAAAAATACATGAATATTGCATTTAAGCTCTAGCTAATCTTATTAACTGAGATACCCCGTTGATGGGGTACGTCTACATCTAAATGTGGTTAATTAACTATACAAAATTCAAAGTCATCTCTTTTATTTTTGATTTAAGTTTGAACAGAATTGTTGTTGACAGAAATATGAAGATCCAAAAATGATGAACTTAAATTTCAAGACTTAGTTTTATTTAGTTTTAGTTTATAGGGATAAATATCAGACACACTTTGATTAAAATAAGAATTATTTAAATTAAAATACCATCAAGGTATCTGGAAGTGTTTCTAAATGCTACTTTAACATTTTGCTGTGTATCTTCAGAGTGGCTCACATAAAGTGTCTTTCATAAAAATACAAAAACAAATAGACCAGAGGTGCACAGTTAGTACCCATAGGAATTCCTATGATCTATCTAAATTGGGTATTCACAAACCTGACATAATTGTTTTTAAAAGAAAAGAGAGTGCCATACAATCTTCGTCACAGATCCACATAGTATAATGTTTTAAATACAGTTTGTAAAGAATGAATTACATGCAAGAAATGTACTTTTTTCCTGTGCAAACGTTGTCTGAATAAGGTGACAAGTTTATCGGTAATTAATTTTGCACGACCATGTTGTATAAAGGATAGAAAAATCTAGTTAAATCTATTTAGAAAAACGTGAAAAAGTACCGGATTTTGATAATAATTCGGACAGCAGCAATATTTCTTTCATAGTCAATATCTCTTTGAAAAAATAAAATAAAACAATAATTAATATAATAAACTATATATATTTGTAAGTAATCTGTTATTTTGAATGTCTCTGTATGTAAATCTTACAGAAAATGATACTGTTTTGTTACCTTCTCAAAAATTTCTCGATAATATTTGTTTGTGTTGTTAAATATATTCCCGGCATTTTACCTTGTTGTATTAACTAATGTTGCTTGTTGAATTTCATACTGCAGTATTTAATTTGATTAAAAACTGAGTTTAATGAATGAAATTAAAATAGTAACTATTTTTGTGTCATAGATGACCTGACTTTTACAGAAAATACTATGGGCAGTTCAACGAGTTAAATGTTTATCATATACACACCACTTCTAAACCTACTGTAATCAAAACAACATCAAATAACATAGATTTATTCTTTATTTCAGTTTTATTATTGAAGAATTAAAATTATGATAAATCATGTGCCTCACAATATACATGAATTTGCACATATATATATATATTTCGAATACTCTCGTCAACAGTTCTTTATGGTTTCCTGCAGAAAAAGCCATCATTTTCATTCTCGCAAACCCAGTTCGCAGGACAAAATCCTTCTTTGTCGCAATATTTCTCATCTGCAATGGACAAATGTACTTATCTGGTTTATAAATTAATTCTGACACATCAAGAGTTTAACAGTGTCATTTAGTATTTTTCCTGTACTAGATCCTTTAGAAACAGCATATAGATTACAATTTTGATTTTCAAACCTTTACCTGTATGACAAAATTATTTTACCGAGGTCTAGGAAATTTTGAATATTTTTGTTTGATTCTTATAAAAATCTTAATTTACGCTTTCATGATAACGTTAAAATTGAATAATTTATTTAACAGTCAATAGCTCTTTTAATGTTTTTGTTTGTTTAATATGTGGAAAGACGTTTTCAAATAAGAATTTACATTTTTTTGTCATTTTTGGGGGTTTTTTTTTGTGTGTTTTTTTGACCGGGGTTGAAATCGTGATGACACACGACTCATAAGGTTTATTGTTAAAAACAAAACAAAAAAAAACAAAACAACCATGGATACGACTTTAGTTGAACCTTTATTTTTTTACCGTTAAACAAATTGATCAGAATGTTTCTCACTTGTTTCATCTGTTAGACCCATTACCAAAACATTAAATGATAAATAAAAACAGAATATTAAGTTCAGTTAATATTACATATAGAACATATAACATATTTGAACGTGACTGACGTCGTTGTCACTAACTATAAAAATGAAAAAAAAAAGAACAACAACAACAAACAAACTGGTGTAAAATCGCCAATAAACACTGGTTGGACTTGTTAATATGTGGAACCACTGATAAACTGGATAAACAAAGGCGGCACAACAATTGATAAATATATCCATAAATCCTGTTCTTAGTAAGTTTTCATTTTTAATATAATACTTTAATAGCATATTGCATATACTAACGCGGCATATTTTACTAACTTGACTGACCCGTTATAGGGAAGGTAGCTTCCCAACTTAACAAATTGTGTAAGTGTGCATGTATAAATATCTTATAATGAGAGTCAATATTTTTTAATAAATACTGTTGAGAGACGTGGAAAGGTATTCCATATATTTAATTTCATGACAAACACAAATGTGTGATTTCTATTCTTAATCAACGTATGCTTATCTTGACTCAAATAACAACATGACAATTTGATAATTCAATGTACAGTTAAATTTGGGCTCGTTTCTGGGCGATGGTCTTTGTACTCCCAAGGGAAGTTCAGGAGGACTGCTGTCATCATATATGATTTAATTGACGGTAAGCTTAATGCCGATCATAATCAATATGATGAACTTCAAACCATGGTTTAATCGATGTCCAAAGAAAACATATCATTGCGGTTTCTACAGGATTTCTTATAAGAACACGTCTAGCGCGTTAACAAATGTTCTTGATATTTCTAAACATGAAAATTCGTTGAAATTATATCCCCCGCAGAGTATTGGTTATAAACGAACACAACAACTGGAGACATAAGACTTAGTTTATGATACATTTTTAAAGACCAGTCCTTGATGATTGACAGAGATGTGCTGAAATCCATTCGGTTGTTTTGAATATTTACGAATGACATATATATGCTGAAATTCTGTCAGTTGATGTTAAAAATGAATAAAAAATGTTATTCTTTGTACATGATAAAATTCAGGGCCATAACAGGGGCCATAATTCCGTGTAAAATGCTATTACTGGGACATGAAAATGAGATGCAAATATCCTTTTCATATTGATGGTTCCCAAAATTCTATCCAGCTGTGGCATAGAAAATTTAGCAATATATTGCTCTATATGCATACTGCACAAAAATCAAGTACCTAAACTCTGTGTTGAATGGTATTACCGGAACAAGTTAACAATATTTGCATTGAAAGTGGCGGCATGGCCGAGAGGTTAACGCGTCGTACAAGTAATCTAATGATCGCTAGCCAGATGGGTAAAATCCCCGTCAGTGGCAAGTCCTTATTACCTTGAATTTCAAGTTCACGTGGCATTTATCTTAGAACATAGGAATATGCAAGCATTTTCAAATTTTGATTGAGATAATGCACAGGCTAATGAGACTATCTATGCACTAAGTGTGTAAGCATGTGATTTTGGATCTAATCTCAAATTATTTGATAGCCTCCTCTCACAAAAACAATATTTAAAAAAAAACAAAAAAAAACATATTATAGAATAATACATGTATATGAATTGACTATAATCGTTTTGATCTAAATAATGTCCTACTGTTTTTTTTGTTTTTGTTTTTTTTTCTCTTTTTTTTGTAAGAAAGCAAGTAGCTACCTGGAATGATACATTATCATATTATAGTTTGAATTTAAGTAATTATTGAAGTTAACAATCAATATCTTGTGTTATTCCTTGCATCAGAATGATTGCCAGCTCATAAAAGACAATGAAATTTAAATATTTGTGACTGCTAGACACCGTCTACTATACCCTGTACATAAAACTTCTACACCCCGTTCACTAAAACATGTATTTCTTGCTAGACTCTGTACACAAGGAAAGACCGTTGTTCGCAAAATTGCCAAAAAGCAGCTAGAGTTGATGGATGACCACTCAAATACAAGTAGAAGGAGGTCTATATTGTATATCAAACACGGATTTTGATACGACATATGCCTTTTGGACTCGATTTACAGGTAAATATCAACATAGTTCGCAAAGTCAACAAAACGGTAAAATTTGTCGCCAATTTAACAAAAAAGATTTCAATTTGCAGAAAGAAAGAAAATACTGCTCTAAACCCTGATATAATCACAGTGAAAATAGTAGTCAAAATGAACAAAGTCTGTTAATTGATTTATTGAGAGGCCAATCTTCTATTTTAATACCTATTCTGACCCACCAGTGTGTTTACATTCCTATAAATAAAACCTTAACAATTTATGTTTAAATTGCAGATGAAAGTTTCTGTTGATAAATTATCACAATATTCGACATATGAACACGCCACTCATACTACCGTAAAATCAATTGCCTTCAAACAAAATATAGAACAGTTAGCTAAAGAGACTTGAACTATAGAATACTACTGCTAGACCTGTTAACTGTCGCACAACGTCAAAATAAAAGCGTCATTTCAAGTTATTAACTAGGTCTATTTAAAATATTCGCGGTAAAAATGCCATAAGTGCAATCAGGGCCGTGAAAAAGAAATCCGAAGAGACCTATGAAAAAGACAATTTCAAAATGATAGAACTATGATAAAACAATTTGTAAAAATGGCATTCTTAATTTTTTTCTATAGATTTATAATTTGTTTGTTTGTTTGTTTCATTTTACGCCTTTTTCCAACAGTATTTCAGTCATATAGGCGGGTAGTTTCCTAACCATCTTTCCTGGAGAGTTACACCAGTACTAGACTACCTTCCTCCGCGCTAAACTACCAAAGCATCTCCCGGGGATCGAACCCACGCCAGAGAGGTAACTGGATTAGAAGTCATCGACTCTAACCCCACGACCACGGAGGCGGCTTTAGATTTATAAAGAGTGCAAATAAAATTATTTGTTTAAATATGTTTGCATTTCATTTCCTGCAAAATTCTCCAGTTCATTATCTATTACCATAGCGCGACACGAATGACCTTTTCGTTAAACTAAAACTACTTCTATAAATAGATTTTCGGACTTTCACAATGTTAAGGTCATCAGTTTATTGATAGGAACAGCAGTAACATACATAATAACCCAACATGATTTATAAAAAAGACGAAAAGTGCGATTAATTGAAGGTCAAGATAATTTCATTTGAATATGTTGGCATTGCGAAATTCTCCAGTTCGTTATTCATCGTACATATTACATTTCATTTTTGATTATCAAACACCCTCATATAAATCTGAATGATCGGCTATTATGACAGACAAAAAGGCTTTGGAAAGTGCCATTGCCCTTTCACAAAATCTGATTTCATTCCATAAAGGGCGTCGCGCGTCGGCGCGGACGCTAATGATACATTTATTTTGCGACATTTGCTTATAACGAATTGTCAAATTTATTGGGAATTTGATTATATTTGTGTTTCTTATAAACTTAAATAAACGGAATATCATATCTTATCTCTCAACTGTATTTATTGAAAATTTAGTTTTTGTTCCCGTTTCAAACGCTATGTCTAACACAGCTAATATGGAATCCAAAGTGAAAAATAGTTCGGCTCTTCCATAAATGGTACCGCATTTGTCACTTACATCATACGTTTTATATATTTGTTGAGCGAATTTGCGGTTTTTAGACAGACAAGTTTAAGGTATGTAATACAGATCTGTATGTGCATTAACTGAAGCGTTTAACAACTCACCCCACGTATCATATAAAGAGATACGCCAGTGATTTCCACATTTTTCATTACTATTGCCAAAACACGGTGCTGTACACCCAGTTTCCTGCGGGTAATTTTTATACGTGTGTCCACAAAAACAATGATCGAACTATAAAATAAAAATTGTCATTTTTAAAATCTTTATCACACATGACTTCACCTCAAAAATGGATTACAATTTTCATAATGAATAGACTGCTTAGTTATAATTATTTGTTTGATGTTATTCACATAAAATAGCGAAATTCGCATGATAAATGAATTTGAATATTGATTTTTAAATCTATTTTTTTTTAGCATTTGATATAATAACCTCTGTTCCAGCATATCTGTAGTCGGCGTTCTTACACTGTTGTATGCAGGCATCTCCAGTGTTTAGATTACTGATATACATCGTTTCTGACAGAATTCGTTCAGGTTTGTCAGTATAACATCCAATATATCCAGGTGGTCTGTAAACTAAATTATAGCTACAAATGTGCATTTAAAGTCCTGTCTTTAAATTAATAGGAAAATAATTATGATGATATCGGTCTTCAAAGTCAAATTAGTTACAAGGACCAGAACTCCCTTTTGCTCTCTCTTTTTTTTTCTTATTTTTGAAATTGAATAAAATAATTGATTGTTATAACCTGTAACAACATTGACATAGCCATTCAACATAACAACATTGTGTATTTCATCTTAGTATTGTTACATTTATGGTATTCCGGTATTAATCGTACAAATACTTTTAAGGTTATAACCTGACTACATACTTAGGACAGTGCCAGATAGCGTGAAAATGATTGGATATTACATCATCCTTAATAAAACAGAGTTTTGTTTTCATTACGTTTTTCAGATAACTTACAACAAAATTCATCATAAAATGTATCTATCTTTATCATGAACTATCATAACGATACTCACGCCCTGTCTCATATAAAGATAAATGCCATGTGCCGCCACACTTCTCGTTTGGATTACCTGGACACGTAGCTGAACATCCAGTTCCTATTCTATAATCTTTAAAAATGTTTCCACAGAAACACTGGGTTCCATACTTAAACGGACAACATCTTATAAGTAAAACACCGAACAAAGTTTCAAATATAACAATTTATTCATAATTTACAGACTTATTTTCGCTCTTTGTAAAATAACAGACAGTTTGTCCTCAAAATCATTCGGACACTATGCAATTCGCACAATATTTAAATGGACATATTCTTGGAACATATTGTCTTGAAATTATTTTTAGTTTACCAATCATTTCAATTTCACTTGTTATCCAATTTAGTTTGCTTCGACCAGACGGTTCAATCTTTGTTGCAACAGACAAACATTTCAAAATTTCAGACACATACCATGAACATGGAGAGAAAATTTTGTACATTAGCTGTGACTGTTCACATCATTTGGCGACGTCTTTGATGTGCAGCATCAACATTCAACTTGTTTCTTTTGTTTTATAATATCTATATTTGAAACACGGTAGGGTGTAAAATCGAACAGCGTTACACGAAAATCGGCACCGGAAGTAATATCTGCTTGAAAAAATAACATTGGTAATCTTCCTTATTTTAACTTGTTAGGATCGAAAAATTGGTATGAGCGGTGTTTACCGGCTATTTAACATTGGTTTTGTCGTTTTGATGCGAAAGAAATAACAACTCAGGCCTATGGCCTTCGTGGTCGATTTCTTAGCGTCAAAACTCCATACCGGTGTTAAATAGTCGATGAACACCGCTAAGACCGATATGCCGTTGGAAACGGCCGCGTTGCAAGCAGTACTCTTAGTATTCTTTTAAATTAAATAACCTTTTTCAAGCTTTGTGATACTTGATGTATATTAATTCTAATGTTGTGTCACTTTTGATTTCTTAAAAAAAATGTTTTTTTTCCGCTGAATCTAATGTTTGGTTAGAATAGTAAGTATATCTTCTTGAATACCATTCAAGCGTCAAGAAATTCTCTTGAATTAAGCAATAGTTTGAGCAATAAAAATTATGTAAAATAAGTAAAAATAACTAGTTTGGTTAATATGTTTCACGTCAATAATTTCCATGACTTAATCAACGTATTTATACACTTGAACATATCTCCCAAGAATTACTGTTACTTTAAGTCTCATGGGCTATAACACAGGCTGCATGTTAACCAAAGAAAATGTCCTCAGAAATTACTTAATATTTATATACATAATTAGATGTATGAAAATAAAAGCAGATTGTCCGTACAATCTGTCATAGCTTCTTGTATCATACAATCATATATCACGAGTCCTCACATAGATTTGGCACCGGGACAATTGTATAAGTATACCTACAAAGTTCAGCCAAGCCGTGATAAAAAAGACTGTACGTCTTTACATCTTTTTACACAGACTTTTCACCCACCTTATCATAGCCTGTATAATCAGAATTATGTGTCTATGAAATTCATAGCTCGTTCACAGACCTTATTGTCAAAGTAACACGATCCAATTATCATAGTTTAGAATGATGCTTTTACTAACAAAACTGAAGACAATAAAAAGGAATAAATACTCAGATCGCTTCTTGGTTTTTCAAGTATTATAACTTCTACGCATAATAAATCACCATAATTGGCGTTTAAAGAGTAAAAAACCAAAAACAGTTACTTTTTTTTATTCTTATCAAAACATTTGTTAATAAGTTGTGTGCAACTGGATAAAAAGTATAGTCACTTTGTTAAATGTATTGTCATTATATTGACAGACTTATGTAATACATGATATATACAATATCTATTATAACTTTATTTACCTACCATGATTATTCATATATAGAAGACATTGCCCATGTTCCTCCAAAATGATTCTTCTACATTCCCCGACGAATTTTAGTAATTAGATTAAATCTCGCATACCCTTAGTGGATAATCTTAAATAATTCCATGTCTCACGGACAGATACAATCTGATCACTAAGAACTTCATTTTTCATTCTCATATAAGCAGGTGTGCTCAAGTAACTCAGAGTACGTAGCATCATACACTACTCATGTTCAACAAAACCGAGAGACAGATTACACGTCTTTAAAATCACGTTCTTATATACTTCACCATCAGTAATAACGAGAATCTTTAGCTTTTACAACGGCCAAGATATTTCGTAACATGCAATTAATGCTGCATATGTAAATTTCATTCCGCTATATTTAATAATAACAAAAATCAAAGCCTCTTCTCCTGTTCGTCTACCATACTGAAGAAATTTATTCATTTACTCGTAAACTTCTTTATAGCAACTCATTACAATTAATACACTTAGTCGTATGAATGTAATCAATCACATGAATAGCTTTGTACATTAACTGGTGTCCCTGCTCCCTCTGATATTCCAACGAATGTTTCCCTGCATTTCCTAATTCAAGCTCTACTAAATCACAGTTGTTTCTTAATATTTATCCATTGATATCAAGTTATCAGTTGATAAAATTCGAACACGCGAATTAATCCTGACATACATCCATATCATACATATAAGGCCGAACACAAAACAATGTTCCATAAACACCTAAAAAACTATAGCTAACGCTGAAAATTTAAGTAAACAAGAAAAGCTAACACATATTGTCTTACCCCTTCTATAATAACTTAGTGAGCTAACAATTAACTCGTATAAGGTAAGGTTAAAGGTTTATCATGGCTATTCGCTTCCAATTCTGGGCTCAATCACTACAGATTGTTTTCATCATACGACTTTTAGAATTAGAAAACACTATACTGAATAAAAACATTAATCGATGCAATTCTAGATATAAAGAGCTTTTGTTTACAATATTGTAATTTAGGAATAAATACAAAAACGAAAATCCTATCTTCACTTTGACTATCTACACACCTCAAATATCATTCAAAATGCTAAAATATTCTAGCTCTACGTAGAACGCATACACTCGATAATTTATAAAATTCAGAGTCTTCTATGACACATCCGAGACGAACATGCTGTTCTTAGATGCCTATAATATACTAAAAAACTGAAGTAATTGATTGATTATACGTTATGATACAATGTTCAATCTCACTTCCTCTATCTTTACTGATACTAAAAAACATTCCTTTAGAAATTTTCATATTAGTTACAGATGATACCGTCTTCTCAACCAGCTAACTCTTAACCTACCTTTTACTATCACACAATTAAGCCGTCTGTTACACAATATATTAGTTTAAATAGCGATAGGGAATATCCTTTAATTAATTGTTTCACAAATGATACTAGATATACATATGACGCCATTGCTTTTAATGCTAAACTTATAAAGAATGTCGTGCTACTCATTTAACGTTGCAGACAAAATTCCGAGTACGACACAAATTTACTTTGATCTAGTTTTTATATAAACTTTTGTATCAGTAGATAATAACAATTCACAACTTAAATTATAAATACTTTATAACGTCAGATTAGTCAGCTACCCAGCCAAGTTACCTGTTCAAAAGTTAATGGATCTTTCAAAAAATGAACATAACTAGCACTCGATAAAGAAGATCGAACGTCGCATTCATTTCAAAGACTTACCTTTCTTCTCATTAATAAATAAACATTACTGACAATACAGAATATTGCATCAAACGTATTTAACATTAATGAATGAGAAGCCTATTTTCAAATTTTGAAACAGCCACGTAATGTAATACTTCTCTTTTTTTGTTTTTACAAAATCACTCGAAATGAGAAATCTATGCGCCGTGCATTTATATAACAACTGTTCAACTATAGAAATAGATTCAGATCAGTGATCGTTTCTTATGTTATTCATTTTATAACGTATTATTTAAAATTAATGTATACATATCGAAATTATAAATCATTTGTTTATTGCAATAGAATCCAACCAAATTTTGTGGACTAAAAATCAACAATTTAAGCAAACATTATAATTACAATTAATAATCGGATCAAATAACAATTCAAGTTTATATTTATATCATATTGGATTAATACTTAAAGCTTAGATATCTTGATTAAAAATAACAACTAACTTTATTCTAAATTATAAACTAATGCTATTCAAGCCCAGTTTTATCAGTTAAATATGCAGCACTATCTGAGTTTTTAATTTGATCCCTATCTGATCCTATTTTTTTAATCTGTGACATTCTATCTCCTTATATCACAATACCTTTCAACTTATCTCATATTATGGGATTGTCTGCTTCAGATAAGTTATGATATCTGTCAAGGAATTAAATATAAGATGTAAAAGCCGATCTCTTTTTTTATTCACAAATATTAATAATTTACAATACTTATTGTAATTAACATTTGTACAAATATTACTCATTTTTATCTAAAGTATGCATGAACAATAGGAAAGCCACTTGGAAAAAATGTATTAACGATTAAGTGCACATTAAAATAATATTGTCAAGAATTAGTTGCCTTTTTACATTTCTATATTTTCAACTATTAATATATCATCATTGTCTCAATTCTACTATTAAAAGAATTAAGTAGTTACAAATTTTCTGATATAGTACCAATGTAAGTACTCTACTAACAAACTAAACTATTGTAAACTTCCAATCCATGAATTAAATGAATAACAAACGTTTCTATAAAGATAATTTGTAGCCGAAAAATGAGGCTTACAACTATTGTTGTTGTTCTTTTGATAGTGCAAAATTCACAACGATATTTCAACGGTTCCTTTGTTATTACGAAATACTATCGATCTCATGTAGGTACTTGATGGATATCTGTCATTTAGAGCTTATGCAGCACTGGAAAGAATGAACACAGTAAAAATGGGAATTACATTCAAAATTGAAACAAATGATCATTGTTATTATACCTATGTATACTTAACGGCCAGTTAATCATGAAAGAAAATATGATCATTGTTATTAACGCTAGAAGTTTATATACTTATCGCTCCAGTAATACTAATATATAAGAAATACGCCAAAGCCCTCGCATATTATCATTGGCATACCTGTAACATTTTGCTGTAACACACCTTGTAGCGCTGAGACTAGTCATATGGCATAAAAATTTACCACCGACAGTAGCACTTGACGTTTTGCGTTCTGAAATTTGAACTAAAACGTTTGTTAATTGTCTAGTGTTTCT